AGAATCAACGATTTCCCCTGCCCCCCCCCCCCCCCAAGATTATCAGTCCCTTTTATTCAACACTGGAAAATATGAAACATGTAAGAAATTCCACCTCCAAAATTAAACACAAACTTGGTAATTCACCCTTTATCTACATTCCAGGAGTAGCACTTCTGTCTCCTCCTAAATGGTACCCTTCATTTAAAGTGCACTCAATGTACTTCACCTGATCATTTAAAAGGGTGAAAAACAGGCTTGAATGTCATTAGGCTTGTATTTTATACCAGTATACAGGCTCATCAAATACTTTCATGAGGGAACACTTTGATCAAGACAAGGTTTAATTAAACAAATGGTTAGCACTGGGACTCGATCAAAGCATAAATGTTAATGTGCTGATTATTCTTCCTTCTCGTGTTTAAGGAGTGGTTCAGACTAGCTCACTTCCATGTTCCCATCTGACTCTGACATTCTATTCATTCCAAAGAGCAAGTTCATGAACCTTGTTGGAGGGACATCCAGGATCAGCATGAAGTCCCCCGATTCCTAGTTCATTTTGATGCTTCAATCATAAATATGATATTTAGTCGTTTGGCTCAGAATATCCCAACCAGTGAGTTATGGCCCACTTGCTTGCTCTGAGAGACTGATGGCTAAAAATCATATATATTTAGAAAAAGAAAATTAAGCCACTATTTCCCATCGACTCAAAAGTTCACGAGTTCAATTTATATTTGAATAGTATTTGGATGGCTGTTCCAGAAAAGTACCTAAATGTATTGATTATTTATTTTATCTCATAATATTTTGAATATAAAATGCAAGAGCAGAGAGGACTTGGAATAAAAATATCTACAAATGTAACACTTCCTAAAATAATGAGTTATTCTGATTTTTGCTTTATGATTCATCATTCTTGACATTCTTTATAGTATGCATAAGATTTAAATTTTCTTTCATATTGACTTGCTCTATTCTCTTATATCTTAAATTAAGTTTTCAACTAATAAAGTATGTACAAATAGTTTTCTTTACAACTATGACTATTATATCCCATGAGATTAGGTATTGCAAGTAGAACATAATTGATTTTATTCACTTTTTAAAAATTTATGTTCCTTGATTTACTTATTCATCCATCCCCCATTTCAGTTTAGCCTTTAATGTTACAATTAGCCAAAGTCAAACTCTTGATAAAATATTATAAAAATTTGTTTCTAGAATTTAAAAGATACTTATTTATAAAAACAGAAAAATATAATTTACCCAGTTCATTAGATTCCCCAAAGTTATTTAATTCTACATAAGTGAAATTAATACTTATAGTTTGACTTTTTAAAAGTTTATTTTAGTAATAAAAATATGTATTTTAATACTTTCAAATCTTGACTGCATTCTTTTCAAAATTATTCTTCACTATACTTAATTTTTAAATTTACTTTTGTAACACTCTAAAAATTCCAAATGACCCAAATTATTTTTGAAACAATTTTTAACCACAAGCCCCTTTTTACAACCATATTAGTTCTTTATTCTTCACATTTATGTAATCTTAAATTTTACAGATATTTTCCCACCATAATAGAAACATTTTATTAAAACTGGAGGCTTCAAAAATTCAAAAGATCTCTTCCCCTCCAAAAAATATTTTTCTTAAAGTTTAAGTCACCATTGAAACTGTATGAGGGTTATCTCACATTTGGAACCAAGTGTTCTCATAATTCTTTCTTTCCCCCAGCCTAAACGTTTTATTTACTTCAAAATATTATCAGGTAAATTATGCTGACATCTTCCTACTAAACATCCATTTTACACACAGGATTAATGAACATTTCAAACATCTGCAAGTATAAAATATGAATCAAAGTTCTCTTATAAGTTAGTTATACAACCATGTCGGATGTAGCTCCTGAGGTCCTGCTAATAAAGCAAAGGCCCCATAAGTCACACAATTGGAGTTGCTCATTTTACCAGCCGCCATGGACACTCTCAACATTTCCAAAGGAAAGAGAAAAGGCGCCACTTTGGAATAATATTATTAGTAAACAGATAGGGGTTATGTCAATAACATGAAGATAATTCTAATCTAGAGGACAGTTAAATCATAACTGTATCATCTCTGATTAATCTACCCTTGTTAGGAACCATGCTAAGGAGAAATGTTTAAAACCTTATCTATTCTGTAAAGTAGCAAAACAAGCTGGTTGACAAAATAGCAAATGAACACTTTGAAACGATTAAGTTATGATGGAAACACTACGTAAGTTAGTACTGATAGCAGAAATGCAAGGTGGAAACCTTGAGATTTAGTTAATATCTGAGTTTACTCACAAAGAATTTAACAAAAATAAAAGTTCATCTGTAGGCCTAAATTCTATATTAAATAATGTTTCCTTGAAATTAGCTAGTTAATATTAATAAAGGAAAGAGAGCAAAGGAGAGGCCAGACATTATAAGCATGGTCATCTGGGCAGCTTCACCAGGAAGCACAGCTTCACACTCCTTAAGGAACCATGGATCCATTCCCTGCAGACCACTGAGGGGAGGGACTGAACAAAGGGGGAAGATGGGTGAAGTCCAGGTGACACACAGAAGGTGCTTGCCTGTCAGTTTAGCCTAGGGAACAATGGATTGGCTAGGGGGTGGACCCCATCAAAAGTACGCGAAATCTTGAGTTCATTGGTTAGTTTGAAGAAATTTCCGGGTTAAAATCCCCAGACTAATGAGTTTTCATGCTCTCTTTTCTCTTGTTTGCTCCTGCTCTCTCTTGCTCCACAACCCATACTCACCCATGTACTTGCTTGTTCTCTCTTCATAGCCATGTGTCCTTAGTAGCCGCATGGCCCATGGCCACGCTGACTCCACACACAGGATGCTGGACTGGACTGGACTGAGTTCTAACATGGAACAGAAATTCTGGGCAATGGCCTTAATTCTGGCCCTACTGAAGACAAGTTTAGACTTTGTCCATGGCAAGGTGGACAGAGATGGGACCTTGGAGGTCCCCTTAATATTACATCATCAATAAAGCTTTCCACAAAACCCCATTCTTCTGTGGGTGCCTCAGGAAATTCTTTTCCTCATGGCACCCCAAGAATTCCACTTCCACTGATAACAGTAGTATTACCAAAAGGTGAATCTAATACAGCCCTACTGTTACAGTCCTGTTTTTTGCTTTACTTGACAAAATAGATTATCATTGTTTAATACCAAAGTACATTGTCTATGGATAGAGTTTTTCAAGTTGGTCAAGAATTAAATAAAAATTGAAGAAAAAAATTAATAACCCTCGTTTTGCAAGTTACTGATAAATAGTCATTGGCTTGCTTTACTTACATTCCAGAGCATCTGATTGAATTTAATCCAAAATTGTGGGAACCATGTGAAAAAAATGTATTAGCATTTCCCAAAAAGTAAAGTTAAACACAGTTCACCAGTGATGTTTCATGGGAATTGTCATGTGAATTCTAAAGAAGAATTATAGGTTCAGAAGAACATCTATGTATGTCTGAAGAAAAGTTGTATCATTATTTTAGGAAATTTGGTATGGAAAAAAATAGTTTGAATAAATTAAAAGTTAATTTGCTTTATCACAATAAATTCCAACCTTACATAAGTTAATAAAATAAAAGGGGTTACTAGTTTTAAAGAACGATCTGCTTCATTAACTATGGGTAAAGAGATTAGATTATCAAAATGTGGGTAATGGTAAGAAAGAAGTCAACAGGAACAAAGCAGTAAATACTCTTCCCTCATTTGCTGTCAACTACTTGTGGGGTTTCTCCTTGATGATAAGCACCAAGAAAATTAAAAGGACTTGACCAGGAATTTTCATGTCAAGCATGAAATCTGATTTTTCTAAAAAACTTACTCCTAAAAGCACACTCATGTTCCTCACTTAAAATTTTAAAAAACATTTTATTTGGACGTTTTATAAAATTTAGTATTTATTATCTTTTCTTTCACTTGGTAGTTTTATTATAATTATACAATACAAAGAAAACATAACGATTATTTTCACCAAGGCTCATGTAAGATGTCTCCAAAGTCCCTCAAATTTACACCAGCATGCCATATTGTTGTTCATTTTCTAGGTGTGATGCTGACATGAAGCCTGAGGAGCCCCATCTATAGCTAGGTGGTCTCTAATCTGTATTTTATGGAACAGAAATTCTGGGCAGTGGCCCTACTGAAGATGATACGGGACTTTGTCCATGTATGTAAAAATGAGGTTCAAAGTCCATCTTTACAAGACTTTTTTTAAAAAATAGGGTTCCACCAAATAATAACAACGAAAGCTAAACCACAAACTGAAGAACTTAGGTAAACAAAGTGATCACAAATGATAGTTAAACTTCAATCTGATGCCATCATTATAATTACATGATTAATTGAGGAAATGTTAGATATTGAAAGCCCAATAATTACTTTGTACGCTAATCTGAGTTATTTCCATTTAATGATAGTTATATTGAGGAACTGGCCCATTTTTCCTTCTGTACTGCTGCCTGCCATTCTTCCCTAAATATCTCTGCCAAGATTACTCAATGAGAACATTTTTCCCTCACGGTCTCTAAAGGTCTACCCTATGGGATCTCCTGGAGGATCCAATAGCAGGCACACTCTTAGAAAAAGCACTCCCTACCCACTCCAGTGTGAATGATACCATACCTCAGCACTAACATTGAAAATGCACAGGTAAGACATCAGAAGTGGGCACTAAGATAAAAGCATTGTGAGCTATTTCCATACAAGGTCTGATCACATTCACTACCTGGTTATATAGAACTTTCATTCCAGGAAGCATGGATGTCACGTATTCACAATAATAATGGTCAGCAGCAAATATTTTCTTCAGGGATGAGGAAAGAAAAGAGGAGAAAAGGCATCTACCATACAGCAATAATACAGGGTGGGGCAAAAGTAGGGTTACAGATGTGAGTTTATTACTTTATTATCATTTATTAACTAGAGGCCTGATGCACAAAATTCAAGGGGCTCGGCCCTCGCAACCCCAGGCTTCCTCTGGAAGGTTGTCTGGATGGTCATTCTGCTGTTTGGCCATCAGGTCTAATTAGCATATTGTGCTTTTATTATTATAATCGTATCATTTTCCATATGAACAACTGTAAACCTACTTTTCCCGCCCTGTATTAAATGCCCTAAGTAAGCCTAATAAACAGTAAGTCTTCAAATATCTTAAAAATACCTTAAAACATAGTTAAAACAAAATCTCTCCAGCAACTAAGAGTGCTTTGTAACATAAAGATTATTAAAATAGTAATAATAACAATTATTACTCTTGTTATTTACCTCTATTATACTATTTTTATAATAAGGGAAATAAGTTATAGACACTATATCTCCAGATGTCTAAAACCTTAATCAATATATAGAGTTTGTAGAAAACATGACCTCATTATACTGTCCCTTATGTTAAATTAAAAGGTAAAATTAAAATGTCAGCCAAGAGAGCAGCTTCCAAGGCCTCAAAAACACAACTATCTTTGGTTCTTTTCTTCATTCCAACCCTGAAAAATAAATAAATTCAGGACATTAAGATCAGATACATTGTATCTGGACTGAAATTTCATTATTATCAAGTGTATTTAAAATGTCCAGCATTGCTCTGGCTGGTATGGTTCAGTTTGTTGGGCATCATCCCGTGCTCCAAAAGGCTGCCATTTTTATTCCGTCAGATCACATGCCCCAGTTGGAGGCTCAGTGCCTGGGTTGGGGACTCGATCCCCTGTGGGGGCCATGCAGGAGGCACTCAATCAATGTTTTTCTCTCTCTCGCCCCCTCTCCCTTCTTCTCTCTTTAAAATCAATAAAATCATATATTTTTAAAAAATGTCTAGCATTACATATGAACTCTGAACTATTAACATAATTTTGAATGATCAATCAGATAATTTTAAAAGCTAAACCTTTAGAAAAAGTATTGCTACTTTACATTCTAAAGCACGGATTATTATAATACAGTTCTCAGCCTGTCAGTAGAGGACCAAATGCAGCAAAAAAACATACTACAATAAATGTATTTAAATTAGCTTAGAAAATTACATGGAGTTAACACATTGCAAACAAATGTTCAAATCTACTGAATCATGAGGCTGTTATGTGAACATCCAGAGCTACAATAAGTCATATACAGTATAATACAGGCATGTAATAATGATAAATATGTTAAACAACTTTCAATTTTGCTAGTTAACAAAAAAAATCCCTTTTAAGTTATTTTTGGCATGGTGCTGGAGGCTCTGTCCAATGACTGGAGGCGGGGCGCTGCTTCTTTGCAAGGCCAGAGCACGCAGCAGTCAGAGACTTCAAGAAGGTGCAGTCAGAACGTCGGCTTGTTCATGTACTCTTCCAGGGTCTGCAAGAGAACAGCAACTTAGAACAGCTTCCCTCAAGCCACATCCTGTAGCAGACTGTGAAGTCTGTTCCGCATTCCTTTGCCATTACTGAAAGGCAGTGTTGGAAAGTTCGTGTGGACATAAATCTCTGCATTCTGATCAAGAAGGGTGGTTCCAAGTTTGAGTATCATTCGTATACACACCCATAGGGCTCAAACTAACTAATGATCAACTGAGGAGAAACTATGCTGGATCACAAAAATGAATGTCCAGCAAGAGCAACGCTAAAGCAACAGCTGCAAGATATCACTGCTGACTTCAGAGAAGTGCGCCTGCTAACATGATCCTGAGGACTATGCCAGGCACATGTATGAGAGAAATCGAATTCTATTTGTGGAATATATTTAGCGTTACAGATATTGTACAGAACATCTTCCTTACACTTGTTGCCAAGATATATCGAAAAAACAACCATAAGTCTTAAGATGTCCTGCCTTGTATCTTGAGGAAGCTTTCCTCCAAAGTATACAATTATGTTTCTTCATCTTCCTCAACAGTTACCAGGTTTGTGACATGCCACAAGGCCATGGCTTTTGTCCAGACTTTTTAAATGTTTGAGTGGCTTCACAATGACAGGCAGAGTTCAAAGCTACGGTGATGTTGCAAGTTCATACCATGCATGATGGAAGGACTTTCCTCTTGCACTCTTTCCTATAATACCTGTGTGTGCAACACACTGGGTTCTGGGTTAAATCAATAAGATAGATCAAGGGGGGAGACTTAGGTAACACCGCTGCCTTTGACAGCTCAATCTGTGACGCTCAATGCATTCTTAAGCCTGAACCCCAGGACACGTGGTTCACTTGCCCCTGCCAGGAAGACAATCAACCAGCATGGGCCAAACAGATGAAGGCCAAGGCCAAGCCAGATTGTTCAGAAGATACTAGGGTTACAAATCAGGTGTGTTCTAACTGGTTTTCACCAGCTCTATTTAGAGTGCCAGTGCTCCTCTGCTGAAAATACTGTGGTCAGTCATCCACACTTCCCTATTAGGTGCTTACACCTTGAAGATGAACATTGGCCAATAAGAGCTGACACCCCAAGACCTCTGCCCTCTACCACCTTTTACAGATGCTGCCCATGTCTTCACAGTTAGCAAGGGTGTCACATTGGCCAGGGGCCCATGCCTGTTTTGTGGCACCACTTAAAAAGGAATATAAAGTTACAAATACAAAATTGGGCATAAAGTTTTTGAAAATGAGGGGGGCAGGGGAATGACAGGAGATTGCGAATTTTTTTTTAATTTTATTTTCTTGTTTAAAGTATTACAAATAGTAGTACATATGTCTCCTTTTCCTTTTCCCCCTATTGACCTTCCCCTGGCCTTCCCTACCCCCCAGCATATACCCTTCCCCCCCTCCCCCCCAGTGTCTTTCATCCATTGGCTATGCTTATATGCATGCATACAAGTCCTTCGGTTGATCCCTTACCTCCCCCCCACAACACTCCCCAGCCTTCCCACTGTAGTTTGACAGTCTGTTCAATGCTTCTTTGACTCTGTATTTATTTTTGTTCATCAGTTTATAATGTTCTTTATATTCCACAAATGAGTGAGATCATGTGGTATTTTTCTTTCACTAACTGGCTTATTTTTAAAAGATGACAACTATCGCAAAATCCAGAACAAGAGCATATGGTTACCAATCATGAAGTGCCTGACACCCTCTACAATATATTTATTGTCTGGCTACTTCTTCTTTGCAATTAAGATACCCTGGAGCTGTCACCTCACTGACTCCACAATTCATTGGCCCCTACTGAACGGCACTGGTGCATTCAGTCTGCTGAAGACTGCGTGGCTGCCCTTCCTGAGCCATGCTACTCAAATTACATGAGCCAATAATGTATGAGGTTGGTACTGTCTTGAGCTTGTAGGAACAGCTAAACTTGCTTTCTTACTCTGTGGTCAAAACATCTGTTTGTCAACCCCATTAGTAATCTCAGGAATTGCAACCTCTGCAATTCAAGATCACTATCTTCTTTTTCCTTCTAATCACTTTGCACCTGTCATCTGCAATTCTTAGTTGTTACCTTCAAAGTAAGATACTACCTAAAGCTATCCTCAACCAATCAAACTGTTCATTTACTTCCACATTATCAACATCTTGCCCTAGTATACTCAGAATAAGCTTTCACCACTTGGAGATTTAAGACTGTATATATGGGGAGACAGTCTTTTATTAAGGGGTCTAGAGAAAGTCCCAGGGGCTATGTGCAGGTTTTCAGTTGGGTTAAAAATGAAACAACGTTATTATTTTAATCTTAAGGTTACTCCCTTAACCTTTAGTAACTACAAATATGTGTTTAGGTCCCAAGGACAGAAAATAAAGAAAGCAGTAATTTTTTTCTTTATGTGATTATATTACTTGTGTGCATTCATTTAAACTTCTCTGACTGAACTTACAAAGCAAACCAAATATACAAAGTCAATTTTTTTTCACTATAAATTTTAATCCACGATATAAATGTAATCTAAAGACACACTGAACATCTTCTATTAGAAAATGACACATAGCCGAAACCGGTTTGGCTCAGTGGATAGAGCGTCGGCCTGCGGACTGAAAGGTCCCAGGTTCGATTCCGGTCAAGGGCATGTACCTGGGTTGCGGGCACATCCCCAGTGGGAGATGTGCAGGAGGCAGCTGATCGATGTTTCTTTCTCATCGATGTTTCTAACTTTCTATCTCTCTTCCTTCCTCTCTGTGAAAAATCAATAAAAAATATATTAAAAAAAGAAAAGAAAAAGAAAATGACACATAATGATCAAGTTCGGTTTTGTAAGTCCTTCTGTGGCACAGACTTCCCTCGCGCCCAGCTCTGTAGCTGCTGAACCACACCGTCCGTCACGGCACACTGTGCAGAGACGACAAGTGAAGTCTGTTCAAATGATGGTCACAGGTGTACTGTTTACCAATCCAAAACACACAGTCCATTCTACATCAGGGAATTCATTCACAAAGTCAGTTTTTTAGCCAGCTCCCCAAATGTTCATTGACTTAGCCTGTATCAGAATGCCGATAATGCTGTTTCGATTTGGCAGGTGCTGTTGAATCAACCAGATTTATAGGGCAGTCGTGGCATTGCCAGCTCACTATGGGGACACAGAGGCTAACTGGAGGACCCCCCGAGATCTACTCATCAGGACCTCCCACTCAATCACAGGGGACATGAACTACCAATGAGTGTTTAAAATTGTGAAAGGGCTCTCTCTTGAAATACCTGCTTCCAGATTTAAATGGAACTAGAAGTACTAGATACACTGCAAGCTCTTTAAAATGTTTTCCGGGGGGGCGGGGGGGGGGCGGGGGAAGGGGTGTTGAAAATAACACAGGTGTGTCTTGGAATCAATTCAAAAAATTTTAATTCCCTAAGTGCCAAAAGACCCTGTTTAAAGTCTGTTTCTCCTATATTTTAAAAAATATTTTTATTAATTTCAGAGAGAAGAAGGGAGAGGAGGAGAGAGAAACATCCATGATGAGAAAGATCTGCTGCCTCCTGCATGCCCCCTACTGGAAATCGAGCCCACAACCCAGGCATGTGCCCTGACAGGGTATCAAACCCTGACCTCCTGGTTCATGGGTGGATGCTCAACCACTGAGCCACACTGGCCAGGCAAGTTTGTTTCTCCTACAAGGAGACTTCACAGTAAGAGCCCTGGGATAGAATTATAAACAACCTCCTGGTATAGTGAAAGAAAGGCTGTTCTGTGGAATTTCCAAACCACTGATTTCTCAAGTATCTTGTAAAATTCCCTTCCCATAGCATTTGGAGAGAGTCAAGTAAACAGCAGAAAGTTTATGTGCATTTTTTGTGGTGAGAACACCTCTAGCAATAAATACATTGGCCTTTTAGCTGGCACAGACAAACTCAAACAGACGTCTTTCTCAGTATCCAAGAACTGGTGCCCTAGATAGGCAGGAACAAATAATCAGCTCAAAGACGTGCAAACACAGTTGCTGGGAAATCATTCCGCACGTTGTTTTATTAATTTAATCAGTTTATTCTTTTAAAACAGTAGGAAGAATGGCTTTAATGCCAATTTTTCAAAGGTACTTTGTAACACTCTGGAATCTCTTGACCTGCTCTTATGAAAATAGAAAGATGGAAAGACCCATAAATGCTGTGGGAAGAAGTACCCAGAGGCGGCAGAGCTGGGTTGGATTATCTCATTTAGGAGGTCAAAGGCCAGTGGAGTGATGCACTATTTTTCACAGTGTACCTGGGAAAACTGAAGGGACCCATGGCGGTAAGTTCCTTTATGCCAATCTGGACTACAACTAAAAGCAAAGCCCCACTCTACTTTATATGAGCACCACAGAGTCAGGAGCACAAACAAATGGATGCTTCAGGGCCCTTTTATACCTTGGCAAGCGAGCCTCGGTATTCCCAACTTATTTATGCAAATAGGAGCCCACACACAGCCTTCTGAGGAGGTGTAAGAAATTTTAATTAAAATGATAAATGCCCTCTTCAAGAATAAAGCTCTAATAGCCCTGGCAAATGAAATAAAGATGTGCTGCTAGTTTCCTTTCTGGGGCAGCACAGATACTTTAACGAAAATTTTTATACCCCTCATAAAATTATTCTTATAAAGAATATCACCAAGTATTTGATAGCTTTTTGATAGGGAGGTAACCTCACTGAAAAGCTCAAGCATGAAGAGTGAAGGTTCTAGAGCCCAAGTGCCTAGGTTCAAATCTCTATTCCACACTTAGTAGCTGTGTGACGTTCAGCAGGTCACTTACCCTCTCTGTGCCCCAGTTTACTCATCTTTCAAATGAGGCTAATAATACTACCTACCTCTTAGAGTTGCTGTGATAATTAAATAAGTTAATATATGTAAGTTGCTTAGAAACTGTACTCAGTACAGAGTCAGAACTTAATAAGTGTTGGCTAATATTTAATTACCACCACCACCACCACTACTACCACCATCACAATCATAACTACCATCACCGTCACCACTACTACCACCACCACAACCACTACCACCACCACTACCACCATCACTATCGTATCTACCACCACCACCACTGCCACTACCACCACCAATATCACCACAACCACTACCACCACCACCACCATCACTGCCATCATCACCATCACTACCACCATCACTACCACCACCATTATAATCATCATCATCTTTTCCCACCGCATGAGAAACTGAGTACTGACCTCCTGTAACATATCAGAATCTTCAATGGCTTTGACAGCAGATTTCTTGGACGTTTCCTGAATTTCTCCACCTATTATAAATTCGTCCAGGATAAAATAAGCCTTTTCAAAGTTAAAGATAATATCCAGCTCACAGACCTGGTAGGACAAAAAAACAACAACAAATGTTTTGATAAACCTGCAGTGATATCAAGGGAAACATATACTAGTGTCTCGAGCTTTTCAAGGAACACCCATGTGGCGTACCAAGGATAAAAATATCAGGTAGCATGTTAAGGACAGAAAAGTTGAACGAGGGAATTGCAGGCCTTTAATAAAAGTAGTAAAATCACATTCCACTAAAGCAGAGCATGTCCCTAGGTAATGTTTAATGTCACAACAAAAGATTTGAGACTCGGTGGAGGAATGAGGCTGCCCAGCTCATATTTCGATCTGCTCAGATGAAAGCTGAGCCCCACTACATTTCAGGCTCGGGGCCGTGCTTCCTTCCTCCTGCTCTCTGCTCTGGGAGTCGGAGCTCCTAGTTTTAGGACCCTCAGAAGGTCACACTTCAGACCTCAATTGTGCTAATTTTTCTCAAAATTATGTCACAGGCCAGTGGCTCTCAACCTTCAGAATATGTCTGAACCACCCAGAAGCCGCGTTAAAACATCACTGCTGGAGTTTCTAGTGCAGTGTGCCTGGCTAAGCCCGAGAGTTTGAACCTCTAACGGGGTCCCAGGCGATGCTAATGATGCTGGACATGTGGGGAACCAATGACACTGCCATAGACCAGAACAGTCTGATAGAGTTGGTCAAGTGAAGCAGTGGTAAGACTACTCCCCATATTTCAAATAAAGCTCATTTCCAATTATTCAACCCAACAGCCACTCAGGGACTCTCCTTGCTGTTTCCTTTAACTCACTGACACCTAACTCTCCATTCCCACACCCTCTTGAAGGTCTGAGAATGGCAAGATTTCAATCCTCCCTGACCCCTACCTCTCAGCAGACTGGAGCTTTGGAAACTTCTTCACCAATCTCATCCCTGAAAATTTCCTCTCTCCTGTTCCCTGACTGTGGCGGTCCCATTCAAGGCCTGTTGTCTTCCTCCATCTCTGATGATTCCTTTTCAAGCTCCTTGGATGGTTTGTCTCCCCTGTCCCCATCCATCTACATTTGTTTAAGAGGTATTTCACATGGGTACTACACTTATCGGGGGGATCACCTCATAAGGGATATAAATGCCTAATCACTATGTTGTACACCTGAAACTACTATCATAGTGTATGTTAACTGTAATTGGAAAATAAATTAATTTCTTTTTTAAAAAAGAAGTATTTATGGAGTGCTTGGGACATATCAGGCAAGAGGAAAAAGAAGGTTGTAAGAGGAAAAAAAAAGTTGCAAAATAATGTGCATAATGCAATTCCATAATGCAAATCCATTTTATTTTTAAAAGTTTATGTCTAGAAGGATAGGTAAAAAAATATGCAGTACTTTGCAATTTTAAACAGTGTAGATAAAAAGAAAGCACAGCAGATCAGACACCATGCACATGAAAGAAGGTAGGAGAAGTAAGCAGTTACCAGAAGTTGGAAGAAGCAGGAAGTTGGGAGTTACAGTAGCCTCAGAGTTCAAGGCAGGCATAGACCAGGAATCCAAGATAGGCAGCAGCTTCATTAGGAGAAACCAGCAGCCAGAGCTCTGCAAAGTGAACCTGATACTAATGCAAGTTCTCTGAGAACTTCTCATATCCCACTCTCAGAGCAGCTGCCCCTCCCCGTGCCTGTGGGGCTCCCCAGCAGCCAGGGGGCAATTAATTTATTGCACCTCAGTTCAAGGGATAGGGGTAAGGTGAAGTGGTGTACAAAGCCAAATACACACAAAACACACAGGCACACTAGGCATGCACATACACGCACAACTTGGATATACAGGTACTATCTCTAGGTCATAGGGAAATGGATGCACAAGTTCTATTGGCACGATAGAGAACATTACCCATGAGCAGCTACTCACATACAGCAACTCCAAAATTCGACTTTGTGGCTATTTCTTGAGTCTAACCCCAAGAGCTATGTATCACAGAGTAAGAAGAGAAAACATTTCAGGGGAACTTTAGCCTAAATGCAGGTTCTTCAGCTATTGCCTGATTACTCAAATACTTGCTTTTTTTTTTTCTTTCAGATACTTCTAATTCCACCTTAAGCACCCTGCCCCAGTACACCAGATGCTCAAACAATTTCATTCCACCAAATTATGCAAAAACACAGGGCTTTTGTGTTAATCAGCACACAGGCCTCTTTTTTAAAAATCATTTTCTCATGCATCTATATCTGGCAGAAAGCTTATAAAAGGCAGAAATAGTGATAATTTAACTTTACATTTGATCTTCAAGCCTTATGTTTTACTATAGTTTGGAGTAAGAGTCTTCTCTTAGAGCAGAATATGTGATGTAGCAAGAATATTTCTGGTATTTCATTAACTAAATCCTTTTGGATAGAGTCTAAGAAGGACCTTCCCTTACTGAATTCTCTTCTAAAGTAAATACAAAAAATATCAAGCTATATACAATAAATGTATAAAACTATAGCCTTAACCAGTTTGGCTCAGTGGATAGAGCGTAGGCCTGCGGACTGAAGGGTACCAGGTTCGATTCTGGTCAAGGGCATGTACCTTGGCTGCGGGCACATCCCCAGTAGGGGGTGTACAGGAGACAGCTGATCGATGTTTCTCACTCATCGATGTTTCTAACTTCTAACCCTCTCCCTTCCTCTCTGTAAAAAATCAACTATATATATAAAATTATATATAAGATAACCCTAATGCAAGGTATAGCTAAATAGCAATGGACAATTTAGAAAGTATTGTTAACTGCACTGTTCCTTTGATCCTCACAATAGCCCTATGGGGTTAGCAAAGTAAATATTTCTATTAACCTCTTCCTACAAGAAAATCCCCTCCATGGAGATCCAAGTGCTCCAAGACAGCAATACCCACACCTTCTGAGGACATCAGTGAAAACTGGCCCAGAGTCTGAAATGGGGAAATAGGCAGGCCTGGAAATCCCGGAGCAGACCCTTGTCTATCGTGAGACCCAGAGCTTCATAGCCGCTATAAACTGGGGTTAATGCTACTTGCTGCAAATCGAAAGATTAACTAGTTAATCCTTGTAAATCTCCTTGGAATTGAAAAGTGCTAAAAAAAAATACATGACTTAAATCAGTAGCCAGAGATTTTGATTTATCTGTCATCAGAAGGTAATATTTTTCCAGTGCTATATATAAGAGGAGCTCAGTACAAAGTTTTCTCTTAGATAACAGAAGGACAAAATTCAAGGAAACCTTCAGAATAACACAAGAGAGAAAGTAAACCAAAAAGCAATGTTCCTGGGACGATGTCAGTGAGAGTCAGTACGCTTTGCTCATCACTGTTAATTAATAAGGATTGAACACCTACTGGGCAGATAGCCTTGAACTGCTCTTAGCTGCTCTTAGCTTAATGAAAGATTCATTGAATTTTTTAGTGAATTAAATTTTGGATCCTCCTAAAGGTCTGCCCAAACAGGATGAAAGATTGATGCTAGAGAAATAGGAATTCATTCTGACTCTCCCTGTACTTTAAATGAGCCTCGTGTTAGTGAAGGGGAGTCTAAGTCTCTTGAGAAAGCCACGTGTTCTGAAGTACCCTCAATTTGGTCAGATAAGATCCAGATCCACATTCAGCCCCAGTTCACATTGTCATAGCTGGATTAATCCAGAAAAACACAACAGGTCAGACCAGAGTGCAGAAATGAGAGGGACAAGGCGAGTCCTGGGGAATTCCTGCAGGCCTTTGCAAAAGGCCAAGCCTGGAGGTTATTTGAAAAGGAAGTACCAAAATGTCAGAATTCATCCGAATGACAGAAAGCATAACATCAAATAATCTCAAATATAAAAATATGCTATTATGTCTTTGCAGATCTCTCTTTTAAAAATGAAAAAAAAAAAAATCTTAGGGAACCAGGAGAAAGAGAAAGAAAAGTGATCTAGCTATCTCGTTTCCTCTCTACTGACCAACAACCTGAAGTCCCTGAAGCAACACTTAGGTCTTTTCATAATTCACAAAGGAAAACAGGGGGGAATAACAGGGAGGGAAGGAGAGACAGCAGGAAAATTCTTTCCGAGACCTTTCAAGTACTCAGCCTATAAAAAGAGTTGCAACAAATCTGATAAAAACCCACCCAATACTGTAAATGTTGCCCATTCCATTAAATGGAATACAAGAAACTCTTGTGGAAGTAAGTGCTCCTAATAACACAAAATAAAAATCTTCAGTGAGCAAGAAATCATTTCCCAAATCATTTTCCAAATCCAATGACTACTCGGAGTGTGAACTACTTTAATTGTTTCTGGAACAGTTGCTAAAATATGGTCCAGAGCTGGTTACAAGTGTTGAAAAAACAAAGTCAGTCCTAGGTCATGATCGTGAAAGACTTGCAGTTCAATGGCCAAGCAAATCCCGTGCAAGTGAAGGATAAGACCGGGCTGGCCCATGTGGCTGGAGCACTGGGTGTGTCAGGGATGTAAAGAGGGAAAAGTGAGAGAGTGGGAGAGTGGCCTGGGACCAAGGTTTACAAAGCTTCAATAGCAGGCTAAGAAGTTTGAATTTTAGATGGAGAGTGACTGAGGAGGAATGTCACCCCGAATCTGTGCTTTGTAAGGAAGATGGTAACCAATAGGCCAGGTGAGAGCCAGAGATGAGGTTTCAAAGAGAAGCAAAGGTATGATCCCAAAAAAGCCTAGAATAGTAACAGGAATGAAGGAGAGGGATTTTAGCCTAGTTTTAATAGACAGAGGCAGATTGTAGTACAGTGGGGCCTTGACTTACAAGTGTCCCGACTAACGAGTTTTTCCAGATATAAGCCGTCTCTCGGCCGAATTTTGCTTTGAGTTGCGAGCTAAAATTCGGGTTACAAGCCAGCTTCAGATACCCCACCGCTAGTTGGCGCAGCAAACGTCACAGTGAACGCCACAGTGAACGCCACATCAGCCCAGCATCATGTGTCTCACTCGTTCACTTTTTGATTTGACATACAAGTAATTTGAGTTACGAGCTCCGTCACGGAACGAATTAAACTCGTAAGTCAAGGCCCCACAGTATAAAGGTTGGAGAAAGCTGAAAGGATCCTGAGACACAATAAATTCGATCACAATACAAAACAGAAGATGAGTTTGGTTCTTGTTGCGTTGAAGACTAAGATGATTGAGAAGCCCAGGAAGAGATCTTCAGCAAAGCAAGAAACAGTCACGTGATAACAGGTTTCCAGGAGAGAAAATCAGGCAGACATACCAGAGAGGAGGAAGAGCAGCAGGGCATTTAGGGAGCAGGTGGAGGGAGGGATCTCAATGGAAGAAGCCAGAAGGGGCCATAAGCAGAATTCAGTGTCCTGGCAAAATAAAAAGGAGCAAATTTAAAGAAAGAATCGTGGTGAGCAAGGGTTCAGTGCTGCAGGAGGTTAAGCAAGTGAAGATTTAAGAAGAGTCACTGGTGTCGGCCACTAGGGAGGGGTGAGTGGTAACTGATTTCCTTGGAGCCGCAGAGGTGGAACCCAAGCTGTGAGCTGCTGTGGAGTGAATGAGTTCAGCGGGTTGGGACACCTCATGTAAGACATTACTGGGGGGCAAGGAGATAAAACAGCAACGTGAAATGAAAGGGTATTATTGTTGTTGTTTTCATTCTCATGTATAAATAATATTAAAGAACATGTGTGACTTAGTAGAAGAAGCCAGAGAGGAACTAAAAGAGCAAACGAGAAGAGAGATGACAGTCCATGACAAAGAAGGAATCCTTCACAATTCCCTCTTGTGCATTAAACAAGGTCTCATGTGTTGTGGTCTGAAGACAGGGACACCACCTGCCTTGAAATCTGCCATTTAATAATTACAGGAAGTGGGGGAAGCCTTTTGCTCTGATCCTTGATACAAATGCAATTCATATTTTACACTTGAGAGAGAGAAGGAATGTGACGCAAGACAGACTGAAGTAAGAGCTGAGATGGAGACCTACTGATTCTAATAGACCAGAACAACTTACATTTCCAAAGTACTTGTCCAGCAACTCCACATAACGATGCACAATCTCTAGTGTCAAGAGCTCATTGTCCTGACTTTCTACTGCACAGCAAAAGTATAAGCTAGCATACCTTGAAAGGAAAAAAAAAAAAGTAAAATATGATGACCCATTAAACAACCTGAAGGTGGATTTTCCCCAATGAAGATGCAGTTACCTCCTGCTTCCCATCCAAGAATGAAATCATTATTCATCACATTCCATATCTCAAAATCATAGTCCTGTGTGTTTCTCCTATGGGTTTCTCCTGTGTGTATCTTCTACTCAAAATACTCTTCCCTACCCCATTTGTGTGGCTAACTCTTCCTTGTCCTGTTGCTCTGAGCTTGGGTGTCATTTCTGCCAAGATTGTCATTCCTGTCATCTCTGACTGGATTGGAAGCCCCTGCTATGCATCCCTGTGCCTCCCCTTCAGAACATCAGGTCTCTTCATTGTCCATTTCATAGCCTGTCTCTCCCACCAGATCAGTGGTTCCCAAAGGCAGGGTCTGCCTTGTTCACTGTTGTAACCCAGTGCTTGTAATATCAGTCAAGAGAACCACTGAAGCCTATTCTTTATATAAGGATTTAAAATACAACCAAACCAAAAATTTTAGAAAACCAGCAGGTGGAGAATACAGACAAGCTTCTTGTCAGCAAATACTAAAAATGTTGACCACGGATCCCACTTTCTGGTAATTTAATCCATTAAATGCAGTCTGCAGCGGTTACTCTACCTTTCCCCTTCAGGTCTTATAAACACTCCTAGCAAGAGCCTTTCTAACTTGTGTTCCTTCTGTAAGTTGCATGAAGATGCTGGGTGCAGGGTCGGGTTGGCTGTGTTCTGATCCTGGCTTGGGTATCCATTATCTAGGTCTAAATGGGCAAAATTACTCTGTCTCTTGGGGTCTCAGTTTCCTCATCTATAAATTGAGGTTTCTTCTGAGTATGGTCTTCCTACACAAGCAGGTGCAATAAAGAGAGAATACATAGGATTTAAAGCCAGAAAGATCTGAACTTGAATTATGGCTCTGCCAATTACTACTCAATTACTGTGAGCGGGGACTAATTACATAAGCTCTCGGTGGCTTTAGTTTCTTCATCTGCAAATATGAGCAATAATAACAATAAAGAGAGTTTTCCATCTCTGCAGCACACTAATCTGCATTTCCCCATAATACTTATTACTAACTGAAAAATTTTTGATTACTTAAAAAATGAGTAAGTGCCATGAGAGCAGGAATGTCCTGTGTCCCATTTACTACTGTATCCGCAACCACTAGGACAGTGCTGGGAATACAGTAGGTGCTCATAAGGCATGTCTTGAATGCCAGCAGGCATTATCAACCTGAGATTAAGTACCTAGACTCTCTCCTGGCACATCAAAGGCCTTTCAATAAATGAGCATTCTTTCCTAGTTAGTCTGTGGGTATAGTTATTTGGGCTCCAGTCTTTAAAGATTTCAGTAAATGATGAAATTGGTGTTGCAACCTAAAATGCTCAAGATTAAACAAACCAAAGCAGTAACAAGAAATAAATTCAGTTCTCATAAAGTTACTCACACCTTTTATAAACAAGTTTTAGTTCCTTCCAGTCGATAAAACTGCTCATCCTCTGACCACGAGAGAGCACAATCTGAACAATCTCCCGGGTGATCTTCTTCCTTTCCTTGTCAGAGAGAGTTGTGTACCATTTCTGCAGCCGTAATTTCCCTTGTCGACTGAAAAGCAATATGAAATGTATCTATAACAAAGAAGGGACAGAGAAAAAACAGAACTTGGTCAACCAAATCATTCTATGTAGACACAAATGTTCAGTGGCCGAGTGTACAAAGGATTATAATTCTGAACCAATGAAAAAAGGCTTCCTAGCTTGAAAACAATCCCCTCTCTGAAATTACGTTTAGCCCATCAGAGAAACAAAGAAATGTAGACACCACAAAGTTTATATTATAGGGGAAAGATAAGTTCTTTTTTTTTTAATATATTTTTTATTGATTTTTCACAGAGAGGAAGGGAGAGAGATAGAGTCAGAAACATTGATGAGAGAGAAACATCGACCAGCAGCCTCCTGCACATCTCCCACTGGAGACGTGCCTGCAACCCAGGTACATGCCCTTGACCGGAATCGAACCCGGGACCCTTCAGTCCGCAGGCCGACGCTCCATCCACTGAGCCAAATCGGTTTCGGCGAAAGATAAGTTCTTTTTAAAATTCCTCTTATGAGTCACAAATGCAGGATAGGGAGAAATATATATCAAGGAAGTACATAATTCTTTTAAGAACACATTAAATTTGTCCTTCACAAGCAAAAAGGAAATGTTAAGAACAGTGGAAGAGTTTACTTTAAAAGTTATATCCTAGTTCCATATCACTACTATAGACACACAATGATAGAGAAATAAAGAAGTAAGGGAAAGAAATGAGGATGAAGCAAGGCGTGAAAGTGAGAAGGGGACCATATTTTGTCATTAAAATATTTTTATGGTTTTTTAATTGATTTTTTTAATCTTTAATTTCTTTATTGGTTAAGGTATTACAAATGTAATTGATTTTTTAGACAGAGAGGAAGGGAGAGGGATAGAGAGATAGAAACGTTAATGACAGAGAAACATGATTGGCTGCCTCCTGCATGCCCCCCACAGGGGATTAAGCCCGCAACCCAGGCATCTGCCCTGATCAGGAATTGAACTGGTGGCCTCTTGATTCCTGGGTCGATGCTCAACCACTGAGCTACACCAACTGGACCATATACTGTCATTTTAAATAAAAGTTGTGCATACTTAACGTGTACAACATGATTAATACATGTGCGTAGTGAAGTGATTACTACAGTCAAGCTAATTAACATTATCAACTCACATAGTTACCATTTTTGTGTGTGTAATGAAAGCACTGAAATATACTCTCTTAGACACTCCAGTATTCAATACAGAGTGTCCCAAAAAATGTATACACACTTTGAACAATTATTAATTCCAATGGGTTAAATCTGAAAAGAAAGAAATATGAACTGAGTTATCAGATTTTAATAGTGTATACATTTTTGGGGGGACACCCTGTATACTGAGAACTAAAATAATTAATTTTTTAAACTTTTTACAAATACAATATTTAACTCCTTTTATTGAAAAGGTTTGGATCTGAACATCATGGCATAAGTCATACAAACTCAATAGGTGGTAATGTCTGAGGGCCAAAAGAAACCAGGCTTTCCTCAGAGCTTCCCCTACCCCCAACCTGTAGAATTTGAGGTCTTCTTAATAAACTATCTCTGCCTTAGAAAGGAAACATATGTTTTAACAAGGTCTTGAAGACCAAGACATGGCAAATGAAGAGAAAGCAAGTTACAGAGCTCTATATGCCTACTAGCTTTAAGAAAAATTACCCTCAGTCTGGAATTTAAATATTTACTTAGAACACAGCATTTTCTTAAATACCAATTTCACTATCAGAGCAGGTATAGGTAACCCAATAATGCAACACAATTACTATTTTCTAAGAATCATATTAAGAAAGGTGTTTTTGCTTCTAAGGATATCTATATATATAAAAGCATAAGCGACCATTACGACCGGACAAAGGTATGACCAGCTAGTCGCTATGATGTTCACTGACCATCAGGGGGCAGACGCTCAATGCAGGAGCTGCCCCCTGGTGGTCAGTGCGCTCCCACAGCCAACCTCCCGTGTCCAGTCAACCTCCTATGATCCCTCCCCCAGGCAGGCCAGCCTGATCAGGACTGAGCTAGATGACCCCCATCGACCCCAATCTCCAGCCAGGCCGAGGGACCCCACCCATGCACAAATTTGTGCACTGGGCCTCTAGTATAATCATAAAAGAGGCATTCTAAAAGTACAAAGCAGAATGGTGATAGAATAAAACCTCAGAATCTTAAAAACAAGCCCCTTTTTGGATAATCACCAATGGATAAGAGTATTCCGTCTGATGTTTGGTGAATAAGCAGATTTTTGTTAGAGAAATGAAATCCACACATTTTCTTAATGTTCACTTTCCATTTCCTGACAGAAAGTTTTCTTCTTCCCATTTAATCTAATCTCTACAAAATCAGTTTAATCTAAATCAGTTAAAATTAAATGGATTTTCCCTGATTTTATCCCGAAAGTGTATAAAGAGACATATCACTATCCTTCGAATAACAGCTAACTTGGCAAATTTGAAGACAGCCTTTAAGTATAGCCTGAATCTTTTCCTTCCAGAGAAATAACCCTGGTTTCATGTCTTCTCCTTCTTGGTTCTATTTTCAGATGTCAAAGTCATCACGATTGCAATTCTTCCATATTTCTCCATAGGCTTTATGTTCCTTTTAATTTGGGGCACTCAGACCAATGCCAAAGTCCCAGCGAGAGGCCATAACTATTTCTGAGTTGAATTGTAGAACACTTTCTAGTTCCTCTATTTGCAATCTTCACTCAAGAACAGGTGCCTATCTTTTTAAACATGGATCAACAATGGAGAACAATAAACAAGGAGCATGTTTTTTTCATTCTAACAACAAATTCAAAGGGAAAGGATAATCAGGGACATAATACATGTGTCTGTGAGCCCATACAAAATATAAAAATGCATTCCATATTCAAAAGAAGCAACAAATAGGTTCAAGTTTATCCAGCAATTGCACTGCATAAGACAGTGTTGAAAGACTTGGATCTCTCAGGTCCTGCTCTGGTGCATGGTGTCTGTTACATCCCCCCCAGATTTAACAGCTCGAGAGACTCGGCAGAATGAATCCCAGTGAGTCACAAGAGTCATCACCTCCAGCAATTGATTTCATCCAATTTATCAATTTAGTCCTTCAAGGCAGATGTTTCAAGAGGTTAATCAAATGCCATGTTTGATTAGCATTAGCTTGAGAGCAGGAAAAAAGGCAACTGGGTGGTTTTCTTCAATAATTACAAAGAGCCAGGTTAAATTCGAGTTGACGTCATCAACAAACTTCATCTGACTTCAGAAAACAACCACCGGACATTTCCTTTCAATAATGTTGCTGAGAAGAAAGGGGTAATGGAGAGACTGGTAATACTTGCAAACACCAACTCCAGAAAAAAAACAGAAAATCCAATGAAGTTGATTGAGCCAGCTTGACTTCCTACATTTGGCCAAAATGCTTTGGCCTCAACTGGGTGCCCTGCTGCACCAATTTCTCCCATCCCTGTCCCAGAGGGAACCACATATGTCAGCAGCCCTTTTGAGGGGTCTGGTTCTGCCCCACATGAGCCCTCAAATCCAAACATGTAAAGTTAATCCAAGCACTCCTTGTCCTCAGAGTACCCCCTACAACAATGCTTGACCTTACTGGGCACAGCCCAAAATTCTCACCTTGATCCAGAGCAGAAACTGGCTGTTTTCTTCACCATATATTTCTGAAGCATGTCTAGGGAGGTGCCATTAAGCCTTTGAAGGGAGCACAAAGCAGACCAGTACCTATGTATTTGGGCTGCTGCTCTGAGCCAGTATTAATTAGCATCTTCCTTCTATTTTTTAAGTTTATTTTTTTCTCTCAATTTTATTTTGTATTGGTTTCAGGTGTACACCTTGTGGTTAGACAATCATAAATTTTACATAGTGTTCCCTGGATAGTTCCAGTACCCCACCTGGCACCAAACACAGTTATTACAATATTATTGACTATATTCTCTATGCTATACTTTATAACCCTGTGACTACTCTGTAATTATCAATTAGTACTTCTTAATCCCTTCACCTCTTTCACCCACCCCCTAAACCCCTTCCCTCTGGCAACCACCAATTTGCTCTCTGTACCTATGAGTCTGTTGCCATTTTGTTTGTTCATGTATTTTGTTCTTTGGATTCCACATATAAATGAAATCATGGTATTCGTCTTTCTCTGACTCACTTATTTGACTGAGCATAATACCCTCTAGGTCTATTCATGCTGTCACAAATGGTAAGATTTCATTCTTTTTTATGGCCGAGTAACATTCCATTGTGTAAACGTACGACAGCATTTTTATCCACTGGTCTGTTGATGGACACTTAGGTTGCTTCCATGTTTTGGCTATTATAAAAAAACACTGCAATGAACATAGGAAGGCCTATATCTTTTGAAATTAGTATTTTGGATTTCTTTGGATAAACCCCCAAACGTGAAATCACTGGGTCATAAGGCAGATCCATTTTTAAGTTTGTGAGTAAACTCCATACTATTTTTCATAGTGGCTGCACCAATCTGCATTCCCACCAACTAGCATCTTCCTTCCAGTTGAAGATAAACAACGAACGCCTCCAATAGCAGCTTTGGTTCTTAATGTTTGAAAATCTCCCTGCTCCTGACCTGAATCCATGCAGTGGACCCACGACCAGCTTCCAAGAAGAGGGGTATCCAGGACTCTTTCGTGTCCCAACACTGTCACACCATGAACACCCCCTTTTCAGAACTAGCTTATATTTCAGGATCCGAGCTGCAAATATAAATACACAGACTATGTCCCTTCCCTCCAATCCCATCAACCTGACAGGCCCTTCCTCTAGTGGTCGGACCCCATGATACATCACTTAAAGGACCCTATTGCTAGGGTCCTTACCAACTTTGACCCTTTTCCAACTTCTGCCACCACTGCAAATCCCCAGCCCAGACAAGCCCCTCCACTCTTATCTTTGCTTCTCTATTGAGACAGCAGGCACTTTGCAGATCGGTACAACCATAAATCTATGCTGGCCCAGCTCAGCTGAATCACCAGTGTTACTTAGAAACTTTCCAGA